GCGGAAAAGCAACATTCTAATTGAGTAAATATTACACAACCAAAGATTGCAAAACCATTTAAACGTCAATAGATCTAGTAGCAATCAGTAAAAACTTGTTTAAGTACCACTATGCTTTGAACAAACCCTAGCAATCAGTAAAATTTGTTTAAGTATACCATTATGCTTTGAACAAACAGCACCCCAACCACCCACCACAACTCTCCTCTCTCCCTGCTATGTTCCCCTTAATGGATACTCTCTAGCATGCTGCCACCATTAGCAGAAGCTTATAAAAATGGATAGGTAGAGCCCGTCATGTATTACAGACACAACAAAGAAGAAGGAGCTTATTTAGCATGACCAAAAGTCGTTACCCGTCAACATCTTGTCATTATTTCAAGTTCATACTATTCAACAAGGTCAGAAAAACTGGAATTTTCAAAGCTACGAAAGAGCTAAAGGGACTACTTTTTGAGTTGCAGTACAATGGCACAAAACGATCTAATGTTCTACACAAGTGACTCTTTCTCAAGAACAAGAATCATAAACAAGTTCAAGTTGTCATTTGAACCACCGTTTGGCAAATATTTTTGAGGCTTGGTTCAAACCATTGATTTCATGTTTTGAACCCAACCCCCTCCCAAACCTAAGAATTCTGAGCACCCCCACCCTGGTTTTCAATGTTTTGAACCAAAAGTTAAAATCACGTCCCAAACTTTCTATTTCAAACCACAAAAGTTCAAACACCAGGTTTGAAACCTATTTACCAAATGGTCCCTCATGCTTTGAGGGTATGACACAGGAAAGAAAGCACTTACAACAACATATAGCGCAAGAACAAAAATCCACAGCAAAAAGAGAAGAGAATCGGTAACTATGGCTATTTTTGAAATAACATCGATAGGATAGAATAGAATAGTATAGAATGATGACTTCCATTGGTATTTAAATTTAAAAAAATTACCCCCATCCTCTGGAATGTCTGAGGTCCACAACGTGAGGTTGTCCCTCAAGAGTTGCATGATCAATGTGCTGTCTTTGTAAGATTCCTCACTCAAAGTATCCAACTCTGAGATTGCTTCATCGAAAGCTTGCTTTGCAAGGTGACAGGCCCTGAAATAAAGTTACCAAGAAAAAGAGGAATTATTTACTAACCTTTTAATTCTGGTCACATCAAAGTGCAAACAAGCACAAATGATAAAGCTAAACAACTAAACAAAGATAAATACGACACCAACCATACCTTTCAGGAGAGTTAAGAATTTCATAATAAAATACAGAGAAGTTCAAGGCCAAACCCAGTCTGATGGGATGCGTAGGAGGTAACTCAGCCTCTGCCGTAGTAGAAGCCGTCTGCAAAAATTTGAGGGAATCGATTACTAGATAAGACAATCGCGGAAACTAGATATAGATAACCTTTAAGCAAATCGAAGGGGCGAAAATTATAGGCTTATAGCTAATAAGCACACACACAAGTTCTGTAGAACTTGTTGTTGGGTAGTGCCGAAAGTTGGACTGAAAATAATATAAGGTCCCCCATTTCTACGAAATTAAATACATGGGATTCATCACCATATTCCTTTTTTGTTCTTCGTTTTACTGTGCAAAGAATCATAGCACCGACACATAAACTCCATCCAAATAAAATCAGGCATAATGATTGTACCTCATATGCTTTCATTGACTGATCGGCAGCCTCTTTCTTTCCGTGACCGGCCTTAAACTCCGCCAAGTACCGATAATAATCTCCCTTCCTATATAATCAAATAAAAACCATTAAAAGTCTCAACTTTCTCAAATCAAATAAAAAAATAACCAAAGAAAATAATCCCAAAAACCACTCACATTTTGTGGAAGAACACGGTGGACTCCCCGGCAGTGCACGAGGGGATGAGATGCTCGTCGATGACGCTCATAATGTCACTGCAAATCTTGGAAAGCTCCGACTCAACCTTGTTCCTGTACTCTTTGATGCGTTTGACATTCTGATCGTTCCCTTTGGCCTCCTCCTTCTGCTCGATCGAGGACAATATCCTCCACGAGGCTCTCCTTGCGCCGATCACGTTCTTGTATCCGACAGATAGCAAATTTCGCTCCTCTACCGTGAGCTCCACGTCTAGTTTCGCTACTTTCTTCATCGCATCCACCATTTCTACAGAAAAAACGGACGAAAATGAGCAAATAACGACATAGACATCAAGTTCAAAACCCTACGTATAAGACCGCGTTTGGATCCGGAGAGGATGCGAGAAAACTAAACGAAACTAAAACCTAACATCTCAATTTCACCAACAAAGATCAAAATTGAATGAGAAAACTCTCGATTAGATCGTCTCAAATAAAAATCAAATCACTTGGTAACGATTTCAATAAATCAAGGAGTCAGAAACATTATAAACTGTGCAAAACCCAGTTTTCCCTTTACTTCGCTACTTTCTTTCACTTTCCTAGTAACCAAACAGGGAAAAAAAACTCAGTATAGCTTGAACGAGAGGAAAAAACCGGGGGGGGGGGGGGGGGGGGGGG